TGTGAATAAAGTGTTTATTTGGATTACAACAAAATAATCACTTTCTGTCAGAATAATGAGCATACCTTTGAATATCCTGTTGATGACTAAGGGTCTGTCTCCCTGAATTGATCCTCTTCCTCCTTCCAGAGAAAATCCAATTCCACCAGGACCTTTCTCCACATCAACACTCAGTGGGGTTTCCTGTTCCACTACTGTGGCAAAGTAACATTTAAACACATTTGGGGGAAAAAAGCTAGTTAAATCCCAGAGATGAAAAACAGTTTAGTGAGACTCACTTTCTTCTCCCGTCCTGTTTCCATTCTTCTCCTCCTCTTTAGTTCCCTTGCAGATGACTACCACAGCCAAAGTTTGATTACGGGTCTGACGCAAAATAGCAGTGGCATCCATGTGTTTGATACCACACAGTGTTAGACCATTAATGGACAAAACCACATCTCCTTTTTGAATGGTCCCCTCTTGAGCTGCCAGTCCACAGGGGAACACCTTATGCACCTGTATGGCACATTGGGTAAGTTTGGGTAAGTTTTAAACACTGACAAAATGCTAAAATCATCAGATTTGATCAATCTCTATTATTTCTTGCAATTTTTCCAATGACTTCATAAAGGAAAGGGTCCAACACAAGTTGTGTTTGGATTGGGTTCAGTAGGTCCAGACTGAACATTGTTGGGCCATATAGATAACACTTTGAGGATCCCCTTGACTGTCCAACATGCTCTCCCAGAATGAAGCAAAGTGTGCTTTTATTTTGGAGGAGCGCACTCCTTCCTCTCCACTTCCCCTCTGAACGGCTCACAGTGTTTGAGAGGCAAGAAGCAGCAGTGAAAACTCCTTTAGAATGAAGTAAACTGTTCAACAGGAATGTTGCCATGAATATTACTTGTTTATAATATCTTATATATTTACTTTATATATAGGCACCAAATGTTTTGGTCTTACTTCTAGAATATGTCCAACTTTGTCTAAAAGATAAGTAGTCTTGCCACAATGTTTTGTTATTTCATCACCAGACCGAAACAGCAGCAAATTGAGCCTTTTTTGTTGTTGATGATATTTAAAGTGTAATGTCAGTGTGAGCAATAGCTACACAACACCAGGGGCTTCATGTGTAAAAGAGTGTGCAGTTTTCACACTAAAACATGGCAAGTTTAGAAAAGTGCGGTGCACAAAAAAATCCAGACGTATAAAGGCATGCGCGTGCATGTGGCTGCGCACGTTTCCTTTATCAATCCCAATTTGTGGGAAATGGAGCACAGCTGCTGCTCCGCCCTGTCTGCATCTATAAGTACAGATTTAAATTTGGATAAATACCCGGAAGATTGCCATCACATGTAGCAGTAACCATGGCAATGTCTTTATTTGTAGCAATGTAAGTATTTATAATAATAATAATTATATATTTTATTTAAAATCTACTTTAAGGGCAAATGAGGTCACCTCACAAAAATAAAAACAATATATTTTAAAGGAAAAAAATCCACATGAAATAAAGAGTTTGTGCAAATTGTCTGTTTGAACATCAGAGCGATTAGCTGGGATTCAGCCAGCGAGTCAGAGAACCCTGACACACCACCCTGACACACCACCCTGACTCACCACCCTGACACACCACCCTGACTCACCACCCTGACTCACCACCCTGACACACCACCCTGACACACCACCCTGACACACCACCCTGACTCACCACCCTGACTCACCACCCTGACTCACCACCCTGACACACCACCCTGACACACCACCCTGACTCACCACCCTGACTCACCACCCTGACACACCACCCTGACACACCACCCTGACTCACCACCCTGACACCACCCTGACACACCACCCTGACTCACCACCCTGACTCACCACCCTGACTCACCACCTGACACACCACCCTGACACACCACCCTGACACACCACACCACCCTGACACACCACCCTGACTCACCACCCTGACACACCACCCTGACACCACCCTGACTCACCACCCTGACTCACCACCCTGACTCACCACCCTGACACACCACCCTGACACACCACCCTGACACACCACCCTGACTCACCACCCTGACACACCACCCTGACACACCACCCAGACACCACCCTGACACACCACCCTGACTCACCACCCTGACTCACCACCCTGACACACCACCCTGACACACCACCCTGACACACCACCCTGACTCACCACCTGACACACCACCCTGACACCACCCTGACTCACCACCCTGACACACCACCCTGACACACCACCCTGACTCACCACCCTGACACACCACCCTGACACACCACCCTGACTCACCACCCTGACACACCACCCTGACACGCCACCCTGACACACCACCCTGACTCACCACCCTGACACACCACCCTGACACGCCACCCTGACACACCACCCTGACACGCACCCTGACACACCACCCTGACTCACCACCCTGACACACCACCCTGACACGCCACCCTGACACGCCACCTGACACACCACCCTGACTCACCACCCTGACACACCACCCTGACACGCCACCCTGACACGCCACCCTGACACACCACCCTGACTCACCACCCTGACACACCACCCTGACACGCCACCCTGACACACCACCCTGACACACCACCCTGACACACCACCCTGACTCACCACCCTGACACACCACCCTGACACGCCACCCTGACACACCACCCTGACACACCACCCTGACACGCCACCCTGACATGCCACCCTGACACACCACCCTGACACACCACCCTGACACAACACCCTGACACGCCAGACTGAAACACGCCACCCTGACACGCCACCCTGACTCACCACCCTGACTCACGACCCTGACACACCACCCTGACACACCACCCTGACTCACCACCCTGACACACCACCCTGACACACCACCCTGACACACCACCCTGACTCACCACCCTGACACGCCACCCTGACACACCACCATGACACGCCACCCTGACTCACGACCCTGACACACCACCCTGACACACCACCCTGACTCACCACCCTGACACACCACCCTGACACGCCACCCTGACACGCCACCCTGACACACCACCCTGACTCACCACCCTGACACACCACCCTGACACGCCACCCTGACACACCACCCTGACACACCACCCTGACACGCCACCCTGACACACCACCCTGACACGCCACCCTGACACGCCACCCTGACACGCCACCCTGACACACCACCCTGACACGCCACCCTGACACACCACCCTGACACGCCACCCTGACACACCACCCTGACTCACCACCCTGACACACCACCCTGACACGCCACCCTGACACGCCACCCTGACACACCACCCTGACTCACCACCCTGACACACCACCCTGACACGCCACCCTGACACGCCACCCTGACACACCACCCTGACTCACCACCCTGACACACCACCCTGACACGCCACCCTGACACACCACCCTGACACACCACCCTGACACACCACCCTGACTCACCACCCTGACACACCACCCTGACACGCCACCCTGACACACCACCCTGACACACCACCCTGACACGCCACCCTGACACGCCACCCTGACACACCACCCTGACACACCACCCTGACACAACACCCTGACATGCCAGACTGAAACACGCCACCCTGACACGCCACCCTGACTCACGACCCTGACACACCACCCTGACACACCACCCTGACTCACCACCCTGACACACCACCCTGACACGCCACCCTGACACGCCACCCTGACACACCACCCTGACTCACCACCCTGACACACCACCCTGACACGCCACCCTGACACACCACCCTGACACACCACCCTGACACCACCCTGACTCACCACCCTGACACACCACCCTGACACGCCACCCTGACACACCACCCTGACACACCACCCTGACACGCCACCCTGACACGCCACCCTGACACACCACCCTGACACACCACCCTGACACAACACCCTGACATGCCAGACTGAAACACGCCACCCTGACACGCCACCCTGACTCACGACCCTGACACACCACCCTGACACACCACCCTGACTCACCACCCTGACACACCACCCTGACACACCACCCTGACACACCACCCTGACTCACCACCCTGACACGCCACCCTGACACACCACCCTGACACGCCACCCTGACTCACGACCCTGACACACCACCCTGACACACCACCCTGACTCACCACCCTGACACACCACCCTGACACGCCACCCTGACACGCCACCCTGACACACCACCCTGACTCACCACCCTGACACACCACCCTGACACGCCACCCTGACACACCACCCTGACACACCACCCTGACACGCCACCCTGACACACCACCCTGACACGCCACCCTGACACGCCACCCTGACACGCCACCCTGACACACCACCCTGACTCACCACCCTGACTCACGACCCTGACACACCACCCTGACACACCACCCTGACTCACCACCCTGACACACCACCCTGACACACCACCCTGACTCACCACCCTGACACACCACCCTGACACGCCACCCTGACACACCACCCTGACTCACCACCCTGACACACCACCCTGACACGCCACCCTGACACACCAACCTGACACGCCACCCTGACACACCACCCTGACTCACCACCCTGACACACCACCCTGACACGCCACCCTGACACGCCACCCTGACACACCACCCTGACTCACCACCCTGACACACCACCCTGACACGCCACCCTGACACGCCACCCTGACACCACCCTGACTCACCACCCTGACACACCACCCTGAAAGCCACCCTGACACGCCACCCTGACACACCACCCTGACTCACCACCCTGACACACCACCCTGACACGCCACCCTGACACGCCACCCTGACACACCACCCTGACACACCACCCTGACACACCACCTGACTCACCACCCTGACACACCACCCTGACACGCCACCCTGACACACCACCCTGACACACCACCCTGACACGCCACCCTGACACGCCACCCTGACACACCACCCTGACACACCACCCTGACACAACACCCTGACATGCCAGACTGAAACACGCCACCCTGACACGCCACCCTGACTCACGACCCTGACACACCACCCTGACACACCACCCTGACTCACCACCCTGACACACCACCCTGACACACCACCCTGACACACCACCCTGACTCACCACCCTGACACGCCACCCTGACACACCACCCTGACACGCCACCCTGACTCACGACCCTGACACACCACCCTGACTCACCACCCTGACACACCACCCTGACACGCCACCCTGACACACCACCCTGACTCACCACCCTGACACACCACCCTGACACACCACCCTGACACGCCACCCTGACACACCACCCTGACACACCACCCTGACACGCCACCCTGACACACCACCCTGACTCACCACCCTGACACACCACCCTGACTCACCACCCTGACACACCACCCTGACACGCCACCCTGACACACCACCCTGACTCACCACCCTGACACACCACCCTGACACACCACCCTGACTCACGACCCTGACACACCACCCTGACACCACCCTGACACACCACCCTGACTCACCACCCTGACACGCCACCCTGACACACCACCCTGACTCACGACCCTGACACACCACCCTGACACCACCCTGACACACCACCCTAACTCACCACCCTGACACACCACCCTGACACACCACCCTAACTCACCACCCTGACTCACGACCCTGACACACCACCCTGACACACCACCCTGACTCACCACCCTGACACACCACCCTGACACGCCACCCTGACACGCCACCCTGACACACCACCCTGACACACCACCCTAACTCACCACCCTGACTGACGACCCTGACACGCCACCCTGACACGCCACCCTGACACAACACCCTGACACGCCACCCTGACACACCACCCTGACACACCACCCTGACACAACACCCTGACACACCACCCTGACACAACACCCTGACACGCCACCCTGACACACCACCCTGACTCACGACCCTGACACACCACCCTGACACACCACCCTGACTCACCACCCTGACTCACGACCCTGACATGCCACCCTGACACGCCACCCTGACACACCACCCTAACTCACCACCCTGACACACCACCCTGACACACCACCCTAACTCACCACCCTGACTCACGACCCTGACACACCACCCTGACACACCACCCTTACTCACCACCCTGACACACCACCCTGACACGCCACCCTGACACGCCACCCTGACACACCACCCTGACACACCACCCTCACTCACCACCCTGACTGACGACCCTGACACGCCACCCTGACACGCCCAGAACAGAAGGCATTTTAATTTAAATGTCTATGACTGAAAATGACAGGAGAAATAAACATTTTGGCCGTTTTACCTCAGTCTGTGTTTTTCAGTATTTTGTGTTTGGCAAGTTACTGAATACTGTTGCCCTGATGTCGAAGTTAAACTACTGTATTGAGAGTAATACTGCAGAGTCCTATTTTACTAACTGTTTTTGACCCATACTCAAATGTATTTTGACCAATAAAATATATCAGAATCTGGTAGCAAGCTTGTGTGTCCTACCAGAGTATTTAGGTTGCTAGTTTTTTGATTGTTTTTTTATCAGTTAATCTAACAAATGATAAAGTGAGAGTACAGTCCTGAAATCATATTTTTTCCTGATTAAAGACTCAAGTCATAAGTCACCAGGGATGGTATGGTTACTTTGAGAAATTAACTTGATTACTCAATGAAAAATCCATTCATAAGCTAGAAACTGTGCATCTCTCTTTTCCCCGCATGTTTGTGTGGCTGATGTTTCACCTTGTGACGTAGCTCCCCAAGAAAAAAAGACGAAAGTAACAATATATGTTTTTACTAAAAAAAACATAGACAAATAGTGTACCACACAGGGACATAGATATGTAACTTTAATGTGTTAGATTACTCATTACTGAAATAAGAGGTGAGATTAGAGCAGTGCTTCTCAAATAGTGGGGCGGGCCCCCTTTGGGGGGCGCGGTGCGATACCTGGGGGGGCGTGTGATCCTGGGGAACAGGCTTTTTTTTGGCCGTACTAGTATAAAGTGTAATTGCGCACAGTAGGCGGCAGTGGCGCTCTCATTGTTACTTCTGTCACGTTTGCGACAGTGCAACATTTCATGACTTACAAGACAACAGGTTTGCCTTGGTTAGCAGTGTTAAGTCAACAAAAAGCTCCGACTGCGTTCTGTCTATGGCCTCCGTTATTCAACAACCCCAACATGAAAAAGGTTTTCACAGGGATGAAAAGAAAAGCGGAGAGAGACAAAGATAATGAGACAACAGAAAGTCAACCGAAAGCTAAGAAGAGGAAATACGACGAAGCGTATTTAGCGCTTGGCTTCACTGTGACTACAGTTGGAGAAGAGGAAAGACCGGTGTGTTTGCTGTGTCTAAAAATGCTCGCAGCGGACAGCATGAAGCCAAAATAAATTAGCGCATCACTTAAATACATTACATCCCAATCACGCCGATAAGCCGCTAGAGTTTTTTCAGCGAAAAAAATGTTAATAAGGAAAAAATGTTATGCAGAGATGGATAGATAGTTGCGCCGCGAATAGTTTTCTTCTTGCTAAAAGGGGGCGTAACGGAAAATAATTGAGAAGCACTGGATTAGAGTAATGTGTTGTTTATGACATTTCTGCTCAAGCTTTTTATGACTCTGCCAGGGTTCTGATATGTGTCCCCTCCAACCATAAACCTACTCCTACCCCCTTTGGTTCCATGAAGTTGAAGTCTACAGAGGTCTGGGAGAACAACACTTGTGAGCTCAGTTTTTGACAAAGTGGATCAGAGAGTTCCAACTATGGAGGGACCATACCTTCTGCCTTGCCTGGCCTTCTTATGCAATTCTGCTCAGTTCTAATCTCACTTCAGTGCTCTGTCTGGGCTTTCTCCAATAATATAGATTTCTCTAGTAGAATTTCTACAGGCTAATCAGTGAACAAAACAAAAAGTTGTAAACGATGTCAATGACTTTCTGTGTTGTAGTGTTAGCAATGGCAGCAGAGGAAGTGAAGGTAATTTTACGTGTAGCTTTCAGTGGCTGGAACCAGCCTCTAAGTTTGAACACATAGATCTCATTTGGTAGAATGCTCTCTCCAAGTAAAGAGTTCATTTTTGCTGCAAGCAAGAGAGTTACAGTAATTTTACATTTTCAGAAATTATGGTACAGCAGAGTGCAAGACGGACAGACAATTAGTAGATATAACACAGGTGTTATATCTATTCTTTTACTTTATATACTACTGAATTTATCAAACCCACAGGGATCTAATGAACATTTTATATATGCAGTGCCCTCAACCACCGCTATAGATAGGATCCTAGAAATATATCTGGAATCTGAGTCATGACAAAAAGATATTTTAACAATGTCCTCTGGGTTCTCCTTACTGTTGGCGCTTTATTCCCTAGGTCACATCCTCCAGCGATGCTGAAGCCTAACCCTGAACCCACGTCTTTGTGCAGAATCACAACATGGACGTCCTGGAAGTATGAAGCACAATTATTTAGTTATTCTTTTCTTTCATTTAAAAGTTTAATTTACATTTGATTCTTCTTGAACATTTACTACATAAATGATTTAGCAGTAAGTTTTTTTAATGTGCAGACGTAGTTTAAGAAGTTTCTTAGAAATTTAAAACTAGACCTGTTTTGCCCAAGGAAAACAGGTCTAGGAACTCAGAGCTCTTTGATTACCAGTCTCATATTTTTTCTACTTGAGCTGCCTGACTTTGCACAGAAATACATATATTTTTGTGGTTATATGTATGAGAAGAAGCGACATAGCCAATGTCGCTCCTTCTCCATTCATTTTAATGGAACTTGTGTGATGAGGCAACAATCACTTGATTTCCTCCAGCGAAGCGACTGTCAAAATTTGTGCATGGTACATGTACACATGCACATGTGAACTGGAGATGAACACAAGAAAACAGAAAAATGTTCAACTTTTGTTGCTATTCAATGGCGACCCATGTTTTGGTTTCACCCCAGAAAAGTTTTGCTGTTCACTGTTATTCATTGATCCCTGCAATGACATCTTTTAAAATACAAATTAAACTTTGTTCACAATTTTCTTTGGCAACTGTCTTCTCTGTGTTCATCAAAACTTATAAGGATGCTTTGCATAACTTGGAAAAGAGCATTTTAGGGAGATAAACTGAACTTTGTCTCACATTCAAATTCAGAAATACCTTACTGACCACAAAGGGTTATTAAATGTTGTAACTCATATTATTCAAGGTTCTTCAAAGATAAAAGTTTCATGCAGTCTTGATATTGCTTTCTGTGCTTTTCAGCCTAAGTTTTAAGAACTCACAAATTTATTAAAGATTATGTTGGGTTTTTTTTTTTTTTACCTTCAGTGTCTCTTCATCCATAGCTTCAACTTCCTCAATCATCTTCTGTATTCCCTGAGAACGAATAACTGAGATGACAGAATGAGCGAAGGTTTCTCGGTCAGAGGTCTGCCTCCCTTGCTCAATGGTGCTTTCTGTCAGAGAGGCTAGCCTGTTATAAAGATTAAATACAAACATGAGTATGATGGTGATGACACACTGCTGAACATTTTCTGCATCTGTAAGGAAACCCAAACTCATTTTAGCAATCTCACCTGACAGAGAAACCTTTATTTTTGCAGTCTTTACCCAGCTCAAACTCTTGGGGATTATCAACATCTTGAAATGGAGTCTCCTGAAAATTTTGGGATTGAAGGTTGCCATAGTCAGAAGAAGGAAGGGACCGTAATATTGCTTGTGAAACCTAGAAAATAGACACAATTAAAATATTAATATTTTAATACTGCAAGCATCATTGGGTGGCTCTCACTGAGCTGCAAGGGCTTCCCCATCATCGCCCACCATCCAAATCCCATTGCCCATCATCATCAGTGCCCTCACACCATTCCCAAATGTATCGACTATCTGGCACATTCAGTAAATCTGTCAAATTGCCTTCATTTCATATCAGTACAAGTTCAGTGACAAGTTGGTCAAGATCGGACCTTCCAGACAGGAGTTATTTTTACTTTCTGTTTCTTGGCAAAGGATTGGCAATGACTTCCTTTAGGTTTGGAACATGTCATGTGGTGTTTAATGGTTAGAGGATACAGTTTTAATCTTACATCATGATGGGAGGAATCACCAAATAATTATGTTTCTTCTCTAAATGGTTGAGTGATGTCATCAACCTACCACACCAATGTGTTGTTGAGCAGTCCTTCCTGATGATGGACACAAAATCTAGAGCTGACTGGATGATGATATAGATGTAGGAAATATTCTAGGGGAGTGGAGTCAAATTCAAACGTAATCCAATTGGCCTTTTTAAAAGCTAAAAAGAAAAGTCTTTAATATCCAGTTTGGAGCAAATCAATCAATCAATCAATCAAATTTTATTTGTATAGAACATTTCAGCTACAAGGCATTTCAAAGTGCTTTACATCATAAACACAAAAACACAAAGACATGCAACATAGAATAAAATACCAAGTTTTTTTCTTTTTTTTTTTTTTTTTTTTCCTCCCCTTTTTCCACTTTCCCTCTTCTTTCCCTTTCTCCCCCCTTCCCTTTGTCACGGAATTTAAGCGCCTGTTACCGCCGGACTCCGCCGTCCGTTTAACCACGGGTATTCGCCGGGCCCCGTTGCCCACAACAGGAAAAAAAAAAGATTACATACATATCCACAAATTCAAATCTGTACATATTACATTTCAAATGAAACTCTAAACAGGTGCGTTTTTACTTGAGATTTAAAGGAAGTCAGAGTTTCTGCTGTTTTACAGTTTTCTGGAAGTTTGTTCCAAATCTTTGGTGCATAGATGCTGAACAGACCAGAACCAGAACCTGAGAGTCTGGAAGGTTGATACAACAACAGCAGATCTTTAATGTATTGTGGTGCTAAACCGTTCAGTGATTTATAAACTAACAACAGTATTTTAAAGTCTATTCTTTGAGCTACAGGGAGCCAGTGGAGGGACTTTAAAACTGCTGTTATGTCTCTATCTTCCTGGTTTTAGTGAGAACAGGAGCAGCAGCTTCTGGATCAGCTTTGATTGATTTGTTGGACAGGCCTGTGAAGACGCTGTTGCAATAATCAATGCGACTAAAGATAAACGCATGGATGAGTTTCTCTAGATCTGGCTGAGACATTAGTCCTCTAATCCTGGAGACGTTCTTCAAGTGATAGAAGGCCGACTTTGTAACTGTCTTTATGTGGCTCGCAAGGTTCAAGTCCGAGTCCATCACTACTCCCAGGCTTCGGGCCTAATCGTTAGTTTTTAGTTGTAATAACTGAAGCTGTGCATTGACTCTAGATCTATAGCTCTAGATCTATAGCTCTAGATCTATAGCTCTAGATCTATAGCTCTATATCGTTCCTCTTTAGGTCCAAAAATAATGACTTCAGTTTTGTTTCTGTTCAGCTGGAGAAAGTTTTGGCACATCCACACATTTATCTGTTCTAAACATTTATTCAGTGATTGGATGGGGTCAAAGGTCACCTGGTGACATCATAATGTAGAGCTGAGTATCATTTGCATAGTTATGGTTGCTAATATTTCCTGTTATAACCTGAGCTAGTGGGAGAATATAAATATTGAATAAGAGGAGTCCTAGGATTGAACCTTGGGGTACCCCACATGTGACCTTTAACCTCTTTGATGAGAAGTTTCCAATTGAAACAAATAAATCCCTGTTCTTTATGTAAGATTCAAACCAGTTCAGTTCTGGACCGGAGAGTCCAACCCAACTCTCCAGTCAATTCAGTTATATGTCAAAAGCTGCACTGAGGTCCAACAGAACCAGCACCGTGGTTCTCCCACAGTCCATATTTATATGAATATCATTGAATACTTTGACTAGGCCAGTCTCCGTGCTGTGGTGAACATAAAAACCAGATTGGAAAGAGTCAAAGCAGTTGGTCATCATGAGGAAACTAATTGTTCACACACGGCTTATTCAATAACTTTGCTGATGAATGGGAGGTTGGAGATCGGCCTGTGATTCTGCAGTAGTGATTTGTCCAGATTGTTCTTTTTTAGCAGTGGTTTGATCACTGCTGTTTTCAAAGCCTGGGGGAAAACGCCTGATATGAGTGATGAGTTACTATTTGGATCAGATCAGTAACAATAACAGGTAGGATTTCCTTAAAGAAATGTGTGGGAAGGACATCCAGACAGCAGGAGCTTGAACTTAATTGACTTGTAATTTCTTCTAGGGTTTTATAATGAAGTAGTTGAAATTGGGTCATTTTTCCTGTATTTGTTCTGTTTGGGTACAGCAATGGTTCTGGCTTTAGAGTCAATGTGCAGATTAATCCTCTGATTTGTTTTATTTTCTCTGAAAAGAAGCTGGAAAACTTGTTCCATCAGCATTAGATTGGATTCAGGTGGTAACGTCATAGGAGGGTTTGTGAGCCTGTCAACTGTTGCAAATAAAGCTCCAGCATTTCATGTTTTTGTTTATGACATCTGCAAGAAAGCCTCCCTTGCATGTTTTAGTGTTGAGTGATAGTTACATAGTCTTTCTTTATAGATGTCATTATGAACGTGAACTTGAGTTTTACTCCATTTTGGTTCTGCTTTGCGACAGAGTTCTCTTGCAGATCAAACTGTTTGTGCTTTTCTCCATGGAGATTTCTTCCTACCAGACACAACATTTACTTTAATTGGGCCAATAGAATCAATGATATATGAAACTTTAGACTGAAAATCATCTACCGACTTATCTACATCATTACAGCTTAAGGGTGAGGAGGAAGAGTAGATTTGATTAAATGTTTCTGCTGTTTTCTATGAAGGAACGTTTTGTGACAGTAGCTGTTTGTCCAAGTGGATTAAAGGATAAAGAACCTTCAAAGATAACAGCAAAGTGATCCGACAGGGCGATCAGTTACAGAGACATTGGAAATATTCACACCCTTACTGATAACCAGGTCCAGTGTGTGTCCTTGAGTGTGTGTTGCTTGTTTGACATGTTGTGTTAAACCAGTGCTTCTCAATTATTTTCCGTTACGCCCCCTTTTAGCAAGAAGAAAACTATTCGCGCCCCCCATTCCCCACCGTGACTATCCATCTCTGCATAACATTTTTTCCTTATTAACATTTCTTTCGCTGAAAAAACTCTGGCGGCTTATCTGCGTGATTGGGATGTAACGTATTTAAGTGACGCGCTAATTTATTTGGCTTCATGCTGTCCGCTGCGAGCATTTTTAGACAGCAAACACACCGGTCTTTCCTCTTCTCCAACTGTAGTCACAGTGAAGCCAAGCGCTAAATACGCTTCGTCGTATTTCCTCTTCTTAGCTTTCGGTTGACTTTCTGTTGTCTCATTATCTTTGTCTCTCTCCGCTTTTCTTTTCATCCCTGTGAAAACCTTTTTCATGTTGGGGTTGTTGAATAACGGAGGCCATAGACAGAACGCAGTCGGCTTTTTGTTGACTTAACACTGCTAACCAAGGCAAACCTGTTGTCTTGTAAGTCATGAAATGTTGCACTGTCGCAAACGTGACAGAAGTAACAATGAGAGCGCCACTGCCGCCTACTGTGCGCAATTACACTTTATACTAGTACGGCCAAAAAAAAGCCTGTTCCCCAGGATCACACGCCCCCCCAGGTATCGCACCGCGCCGCCCAAAGGGGGCCCGCCCCACTATTTGAGAAGCACTGTGTTAAACCAAAATTTTCTAAAATATTAAAAGCTTTTTTGCCCCTCTGTCTTGGGGTTTGTCCACATGAATGTTGAAATCACCAACAATTATTAAACAATCATAATCAATGCATATGAGAGATAGGAGATCATTCAAGTCAGTAAAGAAATTTTCCACATATGCTGGAGTTTTGTATAAAGTTAGTGTCAAAGTTCGTTGAAGCCTTTAACCTGAATTCCAAGATACTCAAAAGAGGTGAAATGACCGAAAGACATTTTACTACAGTTTATGGTATTTTTAAATATAGAAGCCACGCCTCCTTCTTTTTTATGTTTTCTGTTCTCACTTAACAAATTGTAGTCAGGAGGCGCTGATTCAATGAGTACAATTTGCTCATTATCGTCATTCAACCATGTTTCTGTCAGAAACATCAACATTATACTCAGTGATAAAATCATTAATTAATAGAGCTTTAGCACAAAGTGATCTGATATTTAAAAGAACTACTTTAAGTGGCTTGGAGGCCAAAAGATTTTCAGTCTGAGGTTCCTTTAGGCAGGGGATCACTCTGAGGTTTGAATTAGGACCGCTGTGTTTCATATTTCTGGTTTTGTAAATTTTCTTGTAGTGATCTGGACAGGTAATGTCCTGTTCTGCAGAACCCGGGCCAGACACATTCTGGATGGAGACGGGTGTATAGATAAATATCTGGTCCCCGGCCTCAGACCTCAGAAACACAGAGTGATGGATCCTCTGGAAAGTCAGGGGCAGGTTGCTTAAATGAAGTGAGGTCTGCTATGTGAGAGCTAAGGAGAGACGTACCGAGGTGAACCTGTTGATTCATTCCATCTGTAAATTTAAGAAACTCTGGTCCGGAAGACATTTCTTCATTGGTATCTATTGAATCCTGTGAATGATTGGAGGAGCAGAGAGGGAGGGGGAAGCAGTCGCTCCATCTCCAGTCGATTTATCAGCTTGTTTTAATATTATCCTCCTGATATGCGGCGGGCTCCATCCTAGTCAGACATCCGTGAGCCTGTTCTTCTGATGCGATGATCCTGTTGCTGTCCTTGTTGATAAAATAAAAAAGGTTTGCAGTGAGTAGCTTTATCACATGTTTATTAAGATTGCGTCCTCCTCTTCCAAAAAGGAGAAAGCGCTGCCAATAGATCCAGAGGTTATCATGAAGGTCACTGAGCTGGTAGAGCAGCTTTTAATCAGCCATTTGTTGATCGTGAGCAGACTGGAGTGTTTTTCGTCTCCCTATTGAGGTGATGGAATTGGACCACTGAGAAATAACTTCATTTTTAATTTTCCCATAGTGTTCAGAAGAATATTAAAGTCCTTTTTCAGAATCTCAGACTTTTGCTTTGCCAGATCGTTGGCTCCAACATGCACAACTAAAGTCTGAATATCTGGCTGATCGGTGGTTAGAGAGAGCAGTTTGTTGGTTAAATCAGATACAGTGTCACCAGGAAAATACATCACTCTTGTTTTCCTGGGATTGCAAACATCACTGATTCCCTTTACTGACTCATGTCCAACAATAAGCACTTTTGGGACGCCTTTTGTTTTCCTGGTGGTCGCTTTGTCCTTTGGAGCTTTGGGGGATGGATGTGTTGGTCTTGCCTCACTGTTGATGTTTGAAGGCAAAGTTTCACTCGAAACTTTGCCTCAGGCTGGAGTGTAGAAAATCTGTTTTTCAGTGGGATTCCCACAGAGTCAGAATGTTTTGAGGCTCTTGCTGGTTGCTTTGTCCCTGGGAGCGGGGTCAGCGGGGTCAGCAGGGTCGGTGGAGGCGTTTTGGTTGCAGCTGCTTGTTTGTCTTTCTTTGGTGGAGCAGGTGTTGAAGTTGAAGGTGGGTTTCGGCTCAGAGCCGGCCATGCTGATTCGTCCGTGTGCGGGGTTCTACCTGATAATCGTCTCATTGGATCCGCAGTGCCAGACTCCCGTTTCGGCTTGGCACCCAGAGCGTTCCAGGGTGAGCTGCTCGGTGCAGGGCGCACGACCTCTCCTCTCCGTTGATTTGAGGAAGAGTTGTTTCATTTCCACAGGCAGCGTTGATCTCAAAGTTCACCTCCAGCAGTTTAATCTTCATTTCTATAAACTGAAGTCGTTGTAAAATACTGCTCATGTCCTTGGGGTCAGTCGGAGGCATTTTGCCCTGGTTTAACTTGGAGGTAAAGAAAAGTAGGTAAAAATAAAAGTAAGAAAATCCCCCAGTCCTTATCCAGTTTGGAGCAAATGACGTATGTCAGATTTAGAGCAATCCATGTGCAAACAGTGAGAGATGGGAATGTTGCTACTCTTCCAGCCCCAGTCCAGCCATCACATATTGTGGAGAGAAGGATGCAGAATCACCGGATTCACAAGTTGAAATCTGTATGAGTCAGATTTCAACTTGTGCTTTGGTGCTGTATCTTTTGCTTTGAGCCAGTTCACGTCATGTTCCTCATTACCTTCATTCCTTCCACCTGTATTGCTCTCTGATTGTTTTCCTTCTGAAATGTCACCAGATTAGTTAACGCTTTTCACTAGTAGTTTTCCGGTACTCTCATCTCAACCTCATTGTTGTGACTTCGCTCTTGTTCTCTGGATTTGCGCCCTCGCCCTGCTCTTGTTGAATTGTGGTTGGTTACCTATCTTTATCTCGACCCAGGCCTGTTTTTCAGATTTCCCATTCAAGTCTACTGCCCTGGATACCTATTCTGCTCTCTGCCCCTTCGTGTGTGACCATAGCCTGTCTGACCAAAGATGTGGATTTGGATTTTGTGCTTTTGCCCATCACTGCTTCTCCTCCCCTGGTACTCCTTCCAGAGTCCTCCGTCAGTTGATCATTACAGTACTTGATTGGCAGACCAGGTTAGTGTATACTACACACACACCAACAGATTACTTTTGAAGTATTTCTCAAGTCACCAATCTCTCCCCATGCTCACCCCTGTGTCAAAACTGATTCGTCCAGGTACTTCTAGTGATTCATTACAATTTTGATAACTTTTAATCTAAAATGCATGAAGTCTGCAGTATGTAACTTACAAAAAATATATTTTTTAACAAATTTATGCGTCACCATGTTATGACAGTATGACATGAGACAGATTATCTGTAAAAATGATAGAATTTTTCCACCACATCTCACTGCTGCTACTGCCAACTGAAGAGAAATGGGGAGAGTGTGAGCAGGAAGTACACAAGAGTGATTGACAGTGTTCAGGCTCTCCTGACTCTGACTGGTTGTTTCTGACCGAGCAGTGTATTTATGCAGATGGTAGCTGACCCTAACCCATGTCCATAGGGAAAAGACACAGGAGTTTAGTTTTTTTCCAAAGATTATCTGTCTCGTGAACATTTTTTCATTAAAATTACATGTTCATACTTAGTCAATAAAGCTGCAGGACCTTGTAATTTTGACCCTGCTTCTGAGACAAATTTTTCCTAATTCTCCTATGGGAATATAAGTTAAGATAACTAGTTATCTTAACTTACATTATCTTTCAGGGTATATTGACCAAATATATTGACCTTGAAATGCATAGGAGGAGTTTGTTAAAGTTTGACATGTGTGAAAAGTCAAAAATTGCCAAAATATCTGACTTCCTGTTGGGTTTACTGCAAGAGAGGTAAGAGAGCTTTTTTCTTTGTTTCAGGGGCTTCTAGTTATTTATCAAGTTTCAGTTCCTTCCAGTTCGCCTATCTCATGTTACGGCGAGCTGTAGAGGCATTTGGCCAGGGCCAATTAATTCCAACACTAAAATTTCACTCTGGGGCTAAGTTTGGGTATAATATTATTATATATGTATAGGCCATATACGCTTTCACCGCTCAATTACATAATGTAAACAGTAGAATGTCTGCTAATTTTAGTGTTGAAGCCATCGAGTGGACAGGCAGGATTATGGGCCTTGTATGATCTTGTATGATTTTGGACAAGACTCTCAAACCCTGACTTGTCATGATCACTTTGAATCCAAAGAGACACAGTGAACTGCTCCATGAAGAGGGGGGATAATCGATTTGTTTCCAGTCTCTTGTCATTTCTCATGCTGGTCTCCTGCTCACCTCTATTTTTAATTGCCACTTTTTCTCACCTGTGCCTCTGGCCAATTAGTCATTCAGTGTTGTTGTCTGCCTTGTTTCTGTCACCTGGTAGCATTGCTGATAATATCAATGTTTCTGATCAATTGCCTGAAAAGTTGTCTACCTGTCATGGTCTGTGTTTTTCTGTGTCTTTTGAGTTCTCTGTGTTGTCCTGTCTCCCCGTCAATATTCCCAGGTGTGTCTCATTTGGTGACACACCTGTCCTCATTTTCCCTGTTCCTCGTCGGGTCCTAGCGTCAATCAGCATTGTTACTGTGTCCTATGTTTCTCCAGTTGCTACCGCCGTTGAGCCCTGGCTTCTGCTCAGCCGTGCTGCCAGGCTGTTGGACTATTGATGGATTATGCTTCAGACTATTTGGATTATTTTCACTATTAAAACCATCATTTCACCATCATACCTCTGTTTTCTTCCTGTTTGTAATGTGAGTTACTGTCAACCCAGCTTCACTACCAGTATGATCCAAAATCACTTTCACTTTTCTACTAAATGTTTTGTTTCTCTTAAGATCAAGACTGGCCATGTCATAGTGTTGATCTGTCATTAATGAACAAAAGCTTCAACAGTGTTTTCTAGGTTCGAAGACACATTGTCAACCTGCAAGATCTCCTTAGTCAAAATTTGATTTGAACAATTGAGAAAATGTCTGAACTTCTGAGGTCTTCTTGTATGTTTCCTGTGGAGGTAAGCTCCTTTACTTCACATATGGCCACATCAAATCAGTTAGTCGAGTTTTTATGTTTTCACAAGGATGACAAACCTGTTGACCAACTCACTAGTGATATGAGACTTGTGCAAATGAAGAAGTGATCACTTGGTCTTTGTCTGTTTGAGCTGGAAAAAGATGTGCCATTACTTAGTTAAGGAAATTGTGATGCAAATTTTTAAGTGTTTTTACAAAGTAAGAATGTTTAGTTGAAATTTGGTTTATACTGAAAAGCATAAACCATTTCCAGCTAATGTGTATTTTGTAATATTTCCAAAACTACTTTTTATTGTGATTTACAAAGTAGTAAATCACAATGGGTCTATGGCTATGGAGCCATGTTGATATAGAAATGTGGCTCCATATTTGTGAAAATATGTATGCACTACACTTATTCCAGTCAATACATAGTAAAGCTTTTTTTTCAAGCCAGGCTTTATATTTGCAAATGTTGACAAAACAGATAAGATACATGATTAAATTTCTTCACTTTGTAACACATTACCTGATTGCTGAAGGCGACAATTTTTCCAATATGTTCTCCCTCCTGATTCTTCTGGGGCGGACACTCCGTTGTGTGGAAAGTGTTCTGAGCTGTTCTCAGTGGCGCTTCACACTCATTTCCAGAGTACTCATCTACATTTTTCTCTCCTTCCTTTTGATTCATTCTCACTGAGAAAGCAGAAGGTAAGACACTGGATCTGCTGATATCCACTTTCTCTGACTCACATTCCTTTGTGGATGGTTGGAATTTACAACCAGAATGGACAGAGGCTGAAGTAGCATCATCTATTGCAGAGTTAGTTTCAAAGCAGATGGTGTCAGAAGGGTTAGGGTTATTAATACCTATCTCAAAGCAAGAAAGCTGATCTTCAGACATTTTGCCACTAGGTTGACAATAATCTTGGTCCAAAGCTGATGTGATGACAGAAGGTGGAACAGAGACGTTCTCATTAACAACAAACGTTGACTGATCTGACAGCATTTCTGTTGGGATGCCCTGTTTGCTCTTGCCATCATCTCTGTCTGAGGAATGACAGGCACTTTCAGACTCCTGTTTTAACAAAGCAAGCAAGTTGGGATGGGGAGTGGATCTTCTGATGGCTGTTTTTTCCTGAGCTCCTGCAGCAGAAAATGTCTCAAAGGAGAGAATCTTTTGTTTGAATGACATGCTAACAGTACCCGAGGTAGACCTGCCTCCAAACCTTCTGGTAACACCTGCCTCAGGTATCTCCTTTGAATCACTGGCTTGCTTCCTCTGATCTGGATTTTCTTGTATTTTCCTCAAACTCTGGTTAAACCAAGCAGGTTTGGGTGCCACTGGAGGAGCTATTTTTGATCCTGAAGCTTTTAGAGCTGTGTTTCCAAAAGTCTCAATGGATGATGGTTCTCTGAGCTCCACAATGTTCTCCTCTTCTTTCATGGTTGCGATATGTGGATGCTGTGTATTTTAATAGTCTATCTTCTTTGTTGAGCTGTTATTTTTTGATCTAATGGCAGATCTTTTGGAGGATTCTTGGAAAGTTAGACTCACTGATCTTTATATGTAGGTTATTGGAAGCCTGTCTCCAAAGATCTCTTCTCTGTGACCTCAAACGAGGCATGCAAGATAAGTAACCTGTAAACACAAGACAACAAGAAACTAAAAGTTTATCAAAGAAATTTATGAAAGTAATAAATGTTACTTTAACCACAATATGAACTGTAACTTTCTTGTATCTGACCTGGTGTCCCTAGAATACTCTGCCTGCTGCTTCTGTGTGTTTAGAACCAGCGTTTCTTTGGCCATCGTTTTTTACAAGATTTGAAAATGGACTGAGATGCTTAAAGCTGCAGTATGTCATTTTTATAAATGAATATTTTTTGCATATTTGCTTTAACTGTCACTATGTTGTGAAGTTTATAATATGAGACACATAATCTGTTAATTTGCATCATTTATTGTTTTTATCTTTACTCTCTGTCTTTCTACCAAAAGCTGGTAGACGGAGTTTTCAGTCTCAACTGGACTCTTTTTAAAGAAGAGTCCTGTTTACGAAATTTCATAATTCATTTTATTTGTTGTTTCTGTTGCTTATGTACTTTGGATATTTAAAATATTGACCAGTTCCAGTGTTAAATGTTCATTGAAATTTAAAGGTTATTAATCTCTGAAGATGGACTCTTACATTATGTTATTACCACTAAATTACTTGAAAATGGTTTCAAAACAAAAATATTATCATTTGTTGGAATAACTTCCAAAACAATTTATCATCCAGCAAAATTTGTCATTTTGCTGACGATAGTGATAGTGCTCTCAGTCAAGCTTGTGTATCCACTACTCAATATGCCAATGACAGAGAAACAACTCACCTTTCCAAATAAACTGCTTATCAATCAATTAATAACATTTTATTTGTACAGCACATTTCAGCAACAAGCATTAAGTCAAGTACCATTGTAAGATTCTTAATTGATTACGTTTCAAATCCAACCCTAAACAGGTGGGTTTTTAGTCGAGATTTAAAGGAAGTCAGTGTTTCCGCTGTTTTACAGTTTTCTGGAAGTTTGTTTCAGATTTGTGGTGCCTTGAAGCTGAAAGCTGCTTCTCCTTGTTTGGTTTTGGTTCTGGATGCAGAGCAGAACCAGAAGACCTGAGAGTCTGGAGGGTTGATACAACAACAGCAGATCTTTAATGTATTGTTAATATATTTTAAACTATCAACAGTATTTTAAAATCTATTCTTTGAGCCACAGGAACTTTAAAACTGCTGTTATGTCTCTATCTTTCTGGTTTTAGTGAGAATGCGAGTAGCAGCTTCTGAATCAGCTACAGCTGGAGGATTTTTTAAGTAGATCTGTGAAGACGCTGTTACAGTAATCATTGCGTCTAAAGATAAACGCATGGATGAGTTTCTCTAGATCTGCCTGAGTCATTAGTCTGTAATCCTTCTTCAGGGGATAGAAGGCCGACTTTGTAATTGGTTATGCTAAGTGTTGTCACATACTTGTTGAATCTATATGTAACCCATATCTGTGTTACTAACAGGGGTGACGGGAATACTGTGTCAATAGTAGCGGTACTTTGGTTCGACTCGACACAAAAATAAAATAAAACGTCAAGAAACTGAACTATCAATCTTATCCCATTAGTATCGATCTGATATTGACTTGCCATGAACATTTTCAATATTTTGGATCAATCCACCACCTCTAACACTAAAGATGTTGCTGTTCAGCTGTTAAGCATCACACATTCCTTCTCCCTTTGTTCCTCCTCTGCCATCCATTTTGCAGAGAGGAAAGATTTTTAGTTTTACTATCAATATTCTGGACTCCACTCTGAATTAGGACTCCAGCAAAAAGCTCTAAAGCAACCCTTGCCAGTCCAGGATGGATGTGAGACTTGCTGTCTGGCGGCCTTCTCTTTGTGTAGATAAGGTAGAGTTCTTGATAAAATGTTTTTGGACATTGTTTTTTGCCTTACAGTTTTCAGACCATATATTTTGGAACAGCTACCTGAGTAAGTACCACTAAAGAATTATAACTGCTCGGTGGTCTCAATCGAGCAGTGATAGTTTCCTGTTTCTGTGCATGAGACCGAGTGTATCGAAATGCACCATTTTGGAAGAAATTGGACAAAATTTGAATTAGAATACCTTGTGAAATCTTTTTGTGATATCTGATGCTTTGTAGAGAGTACAATTTAATCTTTGTATTTGTGAGTCAGCATGGGTTCTGGGGAAATGATTCAATGTGAGTATATCAGCCATAGGAAGCATTAAGACAATGATGACTGCAACAAAAACCCCAGCTCAAACAGGAAATCCAGTCGGTGTCAAGATACTGACACTGAATTCACTTTATCACATAATCAGAACAGCTAGCAAACAGCCCAGGCAGTCCTGCATACAGAGAAGGAGTACTTGTGTCTTACCTGTGTGTTGATTGTTCTTCAGGCACTCTCCGAATCTGAAAAAGTGAAATCTTCTGCAAGTATTTCAAACTTTGCTTCCTGTCACACAAACAGGAAGTGTGTCACAGCACCCAGCAACCACAGAGAAGTGCAAAGAACATTAGTTCAAGACACTTATTGGCAGCACTGTTACTTAAATGTGTTCAGTCAGTCCAGGCTACAGGACTGACTGCCATCATTCACATTTTCAGGCTGAAAACAGGATTTTGTGTCATTTGTTCACTAACATTTTAATACTTGTGTGTGACATATAAAATGTATATATTTCACACCCGAATGTATACTTTTATTGTGAAGAGGAGAAGGTAAGGTTAGAAGACAACAACAGCTGTCCTTCATTCTATTTTTGGTTTGGATTAGAAGACATTTAGAATAACTAAAGGCTCAAATTATATATTCATGTTTTTCTGCTGACTTCCACATTGGTGACCCTGAACATCTGAACATGTTTTTAACTGAACTCACCAGATGCTGCTTCCGTTTATCCACCAGCTGTGGTTTTGGAACCAGTTTCTTGCCAGTTGGGTGTTACTCAAACCGCCGAATCTGTTTTTACTGCCATTATCAAGCTTCCAGAGTTCTGGCAGCACAGTCCATTACCATGTTCCGTCTCCGTGGGATAACCACAGATGAGACCAAGTACTTCCATGTAGTTGCTAATTTGGACTTTGTTTCCACCTGCTGTCTCGTGATTCTGCTGAGGAACTCACCAAGTGCTAACAAATACAGCGTGCTCAAGGAGAATCTGCTTCGGCTCTACCAACTGTCAGACACGGAGCGAGCCGATCACTTGCTCTCTCTGAATGGCTTGTTGTGATAAATTAATAAACAATAAATAAATAAAACTACAATAAACCTTGTTGCAAACTTTCCGAGATGATGGAGAACATACAGGCATTACGTGGCTCAGGAGATGTTTCCTTCCTTTTTACACATCTGTTTCTGTGCCAGCTTTCTCCATCTGTTTGCACCATGCTGGCCAGCTCTCTGCTGATCCGGACAAAGGAGCTATTATAGAATAGAATAGAAGAGCATTTATTGTCATTGAACAGGATTCAACGAAATTTCTATTGCAACTCCCGTGCAAAAAGTCAAATATATACAATATTAAATAAACAAACACACAATAATAATAATAATAATATATACAACTAAAATTAACTAAAGGCACTCAACCACACCAAAGAAGAAGCAGCAGGTCCAATTATGGTAAAGTGCAGATGATGTGACAGTGCAAGTGCAGAACAATATGGCTGTGTGGGGGTGGGGGGTGTATGTGAGGTTATGATATGTGTGGTAGGGGGCGCAGGGAGTAATGTCTCTGACGGCTGTGGGGAAGAAACTGTTTCTCAGTCTGTTTGTTGTAGTCCGTATATTCCTGAACCGCTTGCCTGATGGCAGCGGCACAAACAGTCTGTGGCCCGGGTGGCTGGAATCCATGGCTATGGATCCAGCTCTCTTCTTGACCGGCCTATGTAAATAGAGTCCAGGTCTGGGAGGGCATCCCACAATGCCTTGTGCTGTTCTCACCACCCGTGTCAGTTGTTTCCTCTCCAGTGCTGTGCAGCCACCATACCACACAGTCACGTTGAGGCAGAGGACGCTCTCGATCGTCGCCCTGTAAAAGTTCACGAGCAGCCGTGAGGAAAGTCCAGCCCGTCTCAGTTTCCTGAGGAAGAAGAGCCTTTGTTGTGCTTTCTTCACCAGGTGGGAGGTGTTGGTATTCCAGGAGAGGTCAGACGTGATGTGGAGGCCCAGGAACTTGATGCTGTCCACACGCTCCACCTCTTCTCCATCTATGAGAAGGGGAGTGTGACCCGTCCTCCTGGACCTTCTGTAGTCCACAATGACCTCCTTGGTCTTCCCTGTGTTCAGCACCAAGTTATTGGCTGAACACCACTGAGTGAGCTGCTGAATCTCCTCTCTGTAGTGGGTCTCGTTGTTGTCTGAAATGAGACCCACTACTGTTGTGTCGTCCGCAAACTTGACGACTGTGTTGGTGGGGTGGATGGCCACGCAGTCGTGTGTAAACAGGGTGAAGAGAGCTGGGCTGAGAACACAGCCCTGCGGTGTGCCTGTGTTGAGGACCAGTGGGGACGATGTTGAGCCACCTATTCTCACCACCTGAGGCCTGTTGGTGAGGAAGTCTCTGATCCAGTGGCACAGTGAAGCAGGCAGCCCCACCTGGAGTAGCTTCAGCACCAGCTTGTCTGGGATGATGGTGTTAAATGCTGAGCTGAAGTCTACAAATAGCATCCTGACGTAAGTGTTGGGATGCTGCAGATGGGTCAGGGCTGTGTGCAGAGTGATGGAGACAGCATCCTCTGTTGACCGGTTCGCTCTGTAGGCGAACTGGAGGCTGTCCAGGTCTGCAGGGATGAAGTGTCTGATGTACCTCAGAAGAATCCTCTCAAAGCACTTCATGATCACCGGGGTCAGAGCGACGGGCCGGTAATCGTTCAGGCTGGTGATGGTCGTCTTCTTCGGTACAGGGATGATGGTGGAAGACTTGGACACTCAGGAACCATGGTGAACTGCAGGGACAGATTGAAAATGTCCAGAAACACTCCTGCCAGCTGGTCGGCGCACGTTTTCAGCGTCTGGCCTGACACCTTGTCTGGTCCTGTAGCTTTGCGGGTGTTGATCCTCCTCAGGGTGGACGTCACCTGGTGCTGCTGCAGGACGAGAGGCTGGTACTGCTCTTCCAGTCGGGGTAGATGTACAGCTTCTCTGCTGCCCACTGTGTCAAAGCAGGAAAGAAGCTGTTTAAGGTGTCAGGCAGGGTGGGGTCGCGGCTGGTCAGCTGAGTGCTGTGTTTGTAGTCCATCATGGTGCCTCTCCACATGCTACTGGGGTTGTTGTTGATGAAGTGTTCCTCAATCCGCTGTTTGTACTGGAGCTTGGCCTGCTTAATTCCTTTTTTCAGTTCCGACCGGGCCCTGCTATAAGCCAACCTGTCTCCAGATCTGTAGGCAGCATCCTGGGCTTTCAGCAGGGCCCGTACTGTGCTGTCCAGCCATGGTTTCTGGTTTGGAAACACTTTTATGGTCTTAACAGGGAGGACAGCATCGGTGCAGAACTGAATATAGGACAGAACGGACGATGAGTATTCCTCCAAGTCTGCTCCGTCCCTGAACACACTCCAGTGAAGTGCAGAGGAGGCCTCCTCAGTCCAGACCTGAACTATTCTGGTGGTCGGCTTAGTTCTGCAGGCCAGAGGCTTGTAGACAGGAATCAGCTCCACTGAGATGTGGTCAGACATGCCCAGATGTGGACCTGCTACAGCCTTGTAGGCTCCGGGGGTATTGCAGTAAACCTGATCCAAAATGTTATTGTCTCTGGTGGGAAAGTTTATGAACTTGTGGAATTTGGGAAATCCGCTTCTTCAGCCCCCTGGCTGAAGAAGCGGACCGCATTTTGTTGGCTTCCAGGCACTACAGATTGGTACACCTTCTACCAGCCTACCAACCTTCTACCAGGTGTGACTCAAGGAGAGTTGCAGCCTCTTGATGCTGTGGCTGCAGTGACGGAGCGACAGAAGGACGACGTTCTCTGCTTCTACCATTGGCGGTTCGGAGTGCCTCTGCATACGTGCTTCAACGCACGCTGCTGCGTGCTCGGTTCAATGCCTGAACAATAAACATATCTTCAGCAGTTGCTAGCTGCTCCAGGCTCTGAGTTGAAATTGATAAAGTGTCAAAAAGATCCAAACCCATCCGTGGTTCTGAACCAATTTGAATTTGTGTCGTTTCATCATTAGTGACCAGTAGCCTGATGTGTCTGTTGTTCTCTTGGTTTGGTGTACTTCATCCATCCCCTATTGGGGTCGGGAGGTGCTGGTGCCTATCTCCAGCTAAGTTCCGGGCGAGATACACCCTGGACAGGTCACCAGCAACACAGAAACAGACAAGACGAACAACCATGACACAAACGCTCACACCTAGGGACAATTTAGAGAGACCAATTTACTTAACAGTCATGCTTTCGGACTGTGGGAGGAAGCCAGAGTACCCGTAGTGAACCCAAAAATACACAGGGGAGAACATGCAAACATGCAGAAAGACCCCGGGCCGGGAATCAAACCCAGGACCTTCTTGCTGGAAGGCAACAGTGCTACCAACTGAGCCTGTGGTGGTGAAACTTGAAAGCTCCACTGTTGCAGGCATGTCTGTGTTGAAAAGTTTAATTATTATGAGCTTTATAATTTGGGCATAAAGGGCCCGGTCATTAGCCCTGACCCCCAGCCCGATGCTGACTTGCTCCGCTAGTGATTCCTCCATTCCTCTCCTTAAAATATTTCCTGTCAAAAGTAGAAATATGAACAAAACCTGGAAATATACATAAAATATGTACTTTTTAGAAATAACAATTCTAATCATTCCGTTTTCTTTGCTCTTATGACTCTGGTCTGATCATTTGCTCTGATCACAGCCAGACACCTGGCATCTTTTTTTGGCAACAAGTTGCTTTATGTTTGGTGTGAAGTCCTGTGTTGTGGAGATTCTCAGGATGGACTACAGGTGGTCATCAGTGAGACGACTTCTGTGTGCTGTTTTGTTAATCTTCATCACTGAGAAGAGCTTCTCACACAGATATGTGCTCCCAAACATGCACAAGGTTCGAGCCGCATGAAGACGGAGCTGGGGCTTTGCTGCAGGGATAGAGTGAATGAACTGTGCGGGCCCTGCAGTGTCATACTTTGCCTTCGGTATCCCATTACACTGCAGCTCAATCAGTTCCATCTGAATCTGCACAGGTGCAGTTTCAACATCAATGGCAAATGGGTGGCAAAGCAACTCAAAACTTTTTTTGTGTGCTTCAAAGTCACTAAACCGCCGTGCGAACTCAGCGCGTAGTGCTCAGTTTGTCGGCAAAGTGCGTTTTGGGGAACACAGTTGTGCTGACTTGGTTCAACATTACTTGGCAACAGGGAAAGTGAGGCAAGTTGCACTGTTGCATTTGTGTCTCCCATAAAAGCAGCTTCACTTGAAACGCCTTCACCATGTCATACATGTCAGTGATCCTGCAGTCACGTCCCTGGAGCTGCAGATTTCGGGCGTTAAGGATGGAAGTGCGAGTTGGCGTTCCTGGCTGACGTAACAGCTCATCTTATGTTTTGTCTCGAAGTGCCGTCATTACAGCCACATTAGCGCCACAAATGAGAGACCGGGGTTTACCGGCAATGTCAGTAAACATATAGTCAGCCTCCCATCGGTTATTAAAGGCTCTGTTTTCACAATCAACTTTTCTCTTCGCCATTGTGAGGGGATCTTCGGCTTCCAGCTATCTGCACGCTATCGTGTAATAGCAAGACTGAATGGACACAGGAGATGCGCCACAAGACAGCCAAAGCAATGCATTGTGGGATGTGTAGTTCTGTGCAGTATTGTGTTATCAGCGCGGCCAAAAAGGTATACCCTCGACGGCGTTGTTCATATCGACGGGCCATTAATAACAATAATGTAAAATGGTCTCACGGGCCGGATATGTTTACACGGCGGGCCGAATGTGGCCCCCGGGCCGTGAGTTGGACGACATATTGGTGGCACACACAAATTTCTACAGATTTTTTAACTTCAACCTCACAAATCTGATAATTACAAATTCAAATCTAGATACACACAGACGAAACTGGCTTTACGCACAGATCCGGTTACGAGTGCACAAGGACTTTTGAGACTCATTTCATGCTTCCAGCCTCTGATTTGTGCATAAGTGGAGTGTTTAAATGCTGGTAGAAAGCTGGGTCATCTGATTCTTGTTCAAAGTCCAGTGTTTTTAATTTTCTGAACGTTGCTGTACTTGTGCCAAAGTGGCCAAGACGTTATTTCATTGGAAAACAGAATACCTCAGTACTTCTTTTCAATACTCCAAAATTATTTATAGATGTACTGTGCATTTTTCAGCCGTACAGTAGTGATTACATGGGTTCAAGAACGACCCAAAAGGTGGCAGAATGGTTTGTTGCCTAGAAAAACAGCACGTTGTCTGCCCTCAGAAGTACCAGTTAGACCTGCAAGCTTTGCTCTCTGATTATGAGACAAATAGTATTTTTTTACAAAGGAAAACAGAGAGTCCACAGTTGACATTTAACCATCCACAACCTGTTCATTCATTTCACATATAAGTCTGGCTGGAGGCTTAACAAGCCTACCCGACTTAGTGCATAGCTGAGATGGCTGAGTGCAAACGACATCAATTACAGGTAAGTCCAGTTTCATGTCAACTCTATATTGCCCAGCACACTATCCTGACCTTGCAAATTAGCAAGTTCACTCTTTGGTATCAAGGTAGATTGATCAATGTCACTCAGTTGCAAGACAGCTGCATCAGTGACTCTCATCTGACTGAAACCTCCAGACTCATGTGCCTGAAGAACAGCCGACGCATCTTGTGACGTTAATAATGTCTGGGGAGCAGGTGAGGGCACCTCGGCATTGCCATCTGTGCACTCCACAACCAGCTGACAGTTGGTTGTAAAACGAAATGCATCTTGGACCGTTTTGTCCAACATACCATTCACCTGGTTAATTAGTGTGGTATACGGTTCAGTTACAATGCGATGGCTCATGCATGACTGAACAAATGGTTCTCTACTTAAGGCATCAGCAACAACATTTTTGCTACCAGGAACATAGTTCAGATCGAAATTATAGGCAGCGAGTCTGGAAACCACCGTTGTTCACATGCATCTAACCTTGGCTTTGTTAGTATGTATGTTAATGGGTTGTTGTCCGTCCAGACTGTGAAATGACGTCCTTTTAACCAGTGGCTAAACTTGTCGCATATTGCCCATTTAAGAGCATGGAACTCCTGGAGTCAAATAAATTGTCTTTCAATTGTAATTCATTGAATTTCCATATAGGCCATATAACTACCCGTGTAAGTGTAACTTACATGAGGAAGTGTAACTTAGTCTGTTTAACTGGTGTAATTTTAGAAAAAGCCACACTGTGTCACTATTGGCTGTAATTAAAAAATGTCAAAATATTGCTGAGACAGGCAGCAATGTTTGACATGCTAACAAGAGCGGTACTGACATCACCGATCTGACTGGACCCATGGAGGTCCGGTGTCAGTGGTAAAGTCCGGTGTGGCTGTAAGCACCACACCAGGCTCTACATTGCAGAGATGTTGCCGAACCGGACACGGCGCTACAGATGCTGGGAAAAACGTCAGGCAAGCAGCGCTGATGGAATATAAACTGTCAGAAAATTATTAGAAATTGTTTAACGCTTCACTGTGCAGAGACGCTTTTGAACTCAATGATCCTCACATTATTTTCTACGTTTTGTCAAAAACAGAACTGTATCCATTTTTTATGTTTTATGATTCACTGTTTGTTTGTGGATGTTGTCAACATTATTTTGTGCTATTTTAATTTATTATCACTTCTATTTTTTAAAGGTAGGTACTTTTTAAAAGCCAATCTGGGAAGTGCTGCAAATTAGCTGTTGGCAGTGACGTCAGTAACGCGTTACTGACGTCGGAACACTTTTTTCGTAAAGAGCAATCTAACGTGTTGCTATTTCAAATCCAGTAGTCAGACTACAGTTACTTATCCAAATCACTTTGCATTATGATCTTCTTTTGCTATTGAATTGTTTTTACTCTACGGGTCTTGAAAAGTGACCGACATATGCGACAATATCAGCAGCGACAGAAATGTAACCAATGGAGGGAGATGCGCGTTTTGTTGGTGGAAAAACAGGAACTATTTTGAGTTTCTGTCGCCAAGTCCGATTATTAAAAGCGGCTTTGGGCTTGTTTTATTATTATTATTATTATCATCCTTTTATAGTCGCTTGCAAAACGTTTTTTGAACGGGAACTTACTCATTTGGGCTTGGAAATAAGCAAAGACTCATAATAAACCCCAGAATTTGTCCGTCATTAAGGTATTTTTTGTCAGGCTCTCCCTGTCCATCATTTCCCGGATGATCCGTCCCGCTGTGTCTTTGTTAATATATTACCTGTGAATTACGTCCAACTATCCAGAGAATTGGAAACATCGAGACTAATCTGAACAGCGCAATAAACATGAAAACAACCACGAATGAATGAGTCTATAAAGTTGTGCAACTAACGCCATTATAATTATTAATATTTATATAAATGTCACAAATTCAGTTGCCATCTGAATTATGGAGCCGCAGGAGGATCTTGGTGCGCTGCGCTGATACCAAGCAGGGCCGTAAAGAACAACCTGGAGGCTGGTGCAGGAATGGGGGCTTTAAAATCCTTCTTAGTTTTCCAGACAATCGTAGAATACATAAAAAGACACAAATTACTTTTTTTGGTACTGTTGTAACCATTAAAAAAATCTCCTCTTTAGTTCAACCATATGAGTGGAGGTATATTGTTGAAGTTACCATTATAAAATAACTTACAATTAATTATTGTGAAAACTCAATGTAATTTTAACAGGTGGTAGAGCGTTGTTGTTAGCAGCTGCTGAAAGTAACTAAAAAGTTACTTTTAATGTAACTTAGTTACTTTCCAAATCAAGTAGTTAGTAATCTGATTAAAGTTACTTTTCAAAGTAGCTATGCTATCACTGGCTATAGCAAACATGGAACTGCTGTTTTGTTCACTTTGTCTATGTCAATGTGCATCTGTCCCTACCAAATAAACTTAAATACATAAAATAAAATGGAGCTATTGCTATTGGAAATGCTAATGGAGCTAAAACACCAGTACTGTGAAAGCACTACCAACACCGAACAAAGTGTTGCTTCAGTAACAACCGGATACAAAGCTATGGAAGTAGCCCTACTTACCAGATCACACAGTGCAACCAGAGGTGAGTGTCACTCATTGTTTCACTTATGAAACAATGAGCGACACTTCATTGTCCTTCATTGTAGCAAAACACCAGCTCCTCCTCTTCCTCCTCCTCCTTAAACAGTCCACAAACAGTCTAGGAGATACTTCAAGGGGATTCCTCCTCCTCCTCCTCCTCCTCCTCCTCCTCCTCCTCCTCATCCTCCTCCTCCTCCTCCTCCTCCTCCTCATCCTCCTCCTCCTCCTCCTCTTCCTCCTCCTCTTCCTCCTCCTCCTTAAACAGTCCAAACAGTCTAGGAGATACTTCAAGGGGATTCCTCCTCCTCCTCCTCCTCCTCCTCCTCCTCCTCCTCCTCCTCCTCCTCCTCTTCCTCCTCCTCGTCCTCCTCCTCACTTCTTCTGATTTCTACATTCCCATCAAGGTCATTGTGCTCCAGTTCAATTTAAAAAGGCTTAATAACATTACTGACCAGTTTTTACTGGAGGAGCCACGCAACTGGAACATTACACATCATTTACCCAGAAAGCATTGCAGCATGAACAACATAGCAACATTCCTGTGAAAATATTAAAATTTATTAAAACTAAATAACCTACAGTTTTACTGTATTGTTTCCACATCTAAAATAAATATTTCCCAAATAAGGTTTATTTTTATAACTAATCGTAGATCTTCAATTTCTAGGTTTATAGGTTCTCAGCCATCCGGGTTTTTCTTAAACCAATCGGGTATGGATGAAATTGTTTTATAGAAACAAATATCTCTGATACTGGCTATTGCACTATGATGCAAACTAGTACAAAAAAGATGGTTGGCCTCATTCTAATCTAAATAGATTAATTCAGTGCAGTGAAATTTGAATTCACATCAAACTCCACTCTTGAAGTTCTCTTTACACCACACATAAGATTAGCAAAAGATTACACCATCATTCACAGCAAGGTCACTGCCTTCATCCAGATGTCTTTAATGAAACTAATGTGTGAAGTGAGCTTTTCTTCATACCTTAAAATGCTATATTCAGACAAAAAAAGACTTGAGATTATGTGGTTAAGGTTTACCAACCGTGTTAACTGGATGCCAGCACTAGAAAGGGAAAGAACAGAATGAAAAATACAAAAACAATGGGTTTGTAGACAAGGTAATGCAAAACCAAGTAACAATTCAAACACATCTGTGTCTGGTTTCCATACATTTATATGACATGTTCTGTTGATTACAAAAAATCAATCCTCAGGCGTTTTGATCCATGTTGCAAAATCAAAACTAACAAACTGTCTCTTTGCAAATGTTACAGAAAAATATCTGGCCATGCACAAGTTAACACTATAAACACATACGGAACTGCAACTGAACTGAACAATTAAAATAGTCACAGTGCAAGTGGTTCAAGTGAAATGTTAATATTAGTCAATTGACTTTAACAAAACATTTTAAACATTTACAGCATTTATTTCTCTCATAATTTTCATATCACTCAACATTTTTAATAAAAAAAGACACTTTATACCCCTTCGGTCTTTGTGTATGAGTTCACCTCTCAGAAGCAAAGGGGTCAATGGTTCTCAACTATCAAACATGCCTGATTAAAAAAATGGTTGTACAGTCAATTCAATACACAATACCCAATTTACAATAAAAGAATTATAATTAACAATATATCTATTTTTAAAGTACAACAGCATTAAAGTTGATCTACACTCTAGGATATTGGATAAAAAAGAATAAAAGGAATGCTACCAGCCTATATGGTACCTTAAACTTGAATAAATGGAAAAATATCCTTAAATGTTTTTATGAGACATAAATATTATCTCTGAGTTGAAGAACATTGAAAAAGCAAAGTCTTACAAATAAAACTCTGAGCTATGGGCAATTAAACAGTCCACAAACAGTCTAGGAGATACTTCAAGGGGATTCATTTACCTTGATAATGAAGCCAAATGTTAGGTTCGATTCAAAGTGCGTTTGGTAAAAATGAAGAAAAACTTCTTTTGCTTAAAAAAAGGAACTGATCACAAGCCACCACAGATATTAGTTATACAAAAGATCAGTCCGATCTGCATACACAGAGGTATGAAGGTCAAAGCATTTTGTGTTGCATGATAGGTTTATATATCACTGCATTTGCAATGGGTAAAATAAGTAGTCACAACATATGTAAATATGTAAACATATTTCTAAAAGTACTATTGACATGAAATTTTCGTCAATGACCCAAGAAATCGATACATAGAAAGAAGCCAAAACAAATCAGGTGAGAAATGAATGAATGTGCAATAATATAAATGACAGGAAAAAAACTGTTTTCCTGGAACTGTAAGCTGCTTCTCCATGTTAGCATATTGAGCAGCGTGTACACAAAGGTGACTGACAGCGTTAAGATGTTCCTCCTGGCTCTGATTGGTGCTTTTGACCAGTTGTGGTGCATTTCTGAAGTGAGCGATAGGGGCACAGGGAAGAGAGGGAAGAGCTTGATTTTTTCACAGATTTTCTGCTTCATGTGATACTATAAGGACTATATGCTGTTTAACACAGTAATATGGTATTATAACATAGACTTCACAATGTCCAACACTCATTTAAGGATTTATTTATAGATTAACATATTTCCACGTACATGCTTGTTCTTATTTTACAATAAGGTCATATTTAAATTACTTACAATATCACACACATAGAAATATTGGTTATACTAATAGTTAACACTTTGGATCATGTAGCTTGTGAACAAATAAGAAATCTTACATTGGGCATAAATGTAAAATGCCCAATGTAAAATTTGGCATTTTTATTCTGGTGATCATTGATAAAATAAAAATGTGAATAAAAAATATTTTTATAAAAGTTGCCTACTGCAACATGTTCAATACTTTTTACATAATTTCTAAATCTATTTCTTTGGTTTCTTTGAATGTATGGATTACTTGGGTTGTTACCAACACATGGTGAACATTTCATGTTAATAGAAATATGTTTAGTAGAAAACATTTTGATAAGCTCAATACTTATTTTACCTACTGTACTAAAAAAATCTATTCTTCAAATTCATCTTTTATCTTTGAATAAGGTCAGATAAACTTGAGAATATATCAAGAGAAATTTGAGGACTTCTGATATGCATGACCCTTTTCCTCATTCTAGGTATGACTGTTGACCGTTAACCATTTACAGGATTGCTTCTGTTAAGAGTTTATAAATTAACCAACATATACATATGTTAGATATTTGGCATTTTCTAACTTTCCTCAAGCTTCAGTATTAGTTGTTTTTTAAAATAGAGCAGGTGGCATAAAGAATAGGCCGAACACTTGGTTGCTCAGGTTTTCCCTGAGTAACAAAGAAAACTTGCTAAGCCTGGTGGTCAGGGCCCTGAGGCCCCACCAGGTTTTTGTATTAAAAAATGTTGACAAGAAATGTAAAACATTACTGGGTAAATTACGTATGTTTTTGGAAGACATTGTCGACAATACTTAGACACACAACTATAATTTTAAAAACAAAAATATTACTGTAAAATAAATATGCATTTTTTTGCATACTTTTTGCTCAAGGCCCCCAAGATCTCCATAAATGTTAACATTTTAACACAAAATACAGATAGAAATGTTTAACATTTGTTTGTAGAGAATGACAACGCTGTTAAATTTAACGCTTTCCGCACAGATAATTTAAGATTTAGCTGTGTTTGAATTTTTTTTACATTTAACTGATATTTTAATGAGCTAGTAAGTTTACTTTGTAGAAGTGCAAAGAACAATCTTCATAGCTAGATTATTTTGTTACCTTAGCTACAATCTCATTCTGAGTTTAACCTTTAAGTTTGAGCTCTATTTGAGCACAAATATATCTCAGCAAATTAGTTATCACTGACTATGCCCTCTCCCAGATTTGACTAAATCTATACTGCAATGCTGTTAGTGGTGCTGATGTACAACCTTGCACCGACCATGCATGATGTGCACACGGCATCTCTTTGCTGGATACAGAGGGTCAAATGGGGATTTCATTTATGTCGCTCTAGTAGGGACAAAGCTGTTCTATTTTGTGTCTGTTGAGTTTATGAGAAGCGCCACAGAGACAGTTTTTCTCATCTCCGCACAGCAACTCTGCCTGACTGAAACATCATTTGATATGGCACAGTTTGATGCATTGTGTAAAACAACAAACAAACAAAAAGAACAGCATGCTGCTGTGGAGGAGTAGTAAACTCCTCCTTTACCACTATCCCTCTAACACACTGGCTCACTGAGGAAAACATATAGAAACTTTATCAGCGCAGATAATAATTACGTTTGTGACCCAGCGATGTGCCAGCATGTGTGAGATGGAAACGCACACACCACACATAATTCTTTCTTCACAAAGATATATTATTCTCACTACAAAGCACCCACATCTGAAAGTGCAACTATAGGTTACATTTAAGTTGCAAACACAGCAAGCAGTGTAGTGACTTTCAAACTTGACCCCTACCTAACTGAAGTTATCTCCAAAGAAACATTATTCCTCGCAGGGAGTTGATATATATGCAGGTTAAGCTTCTCAAAAAGAACATCTGCCAAAACATCTAGTTTGATTGAAATATGTGAAGAAGCACAATCTGCAATGAGGTAAACTTCAAAGATCCAGCTGCAGTGACGCAGTAGGCGGCCAACAGGCGCCACTGGTGAACATTGGCAGCTTCATGCACTTTTCAATGCATAAATCCCTTTCAGGAATGATTCTGTTGTTTTGGTGAAAAGCTCAGACCAACAAAGATACTTTGCTGAGCTGAGCAAAGCAGCTTTACTAATTCTGCTTTATTTGGGGCATAAAAAAAATATAAAAGCAATTCTTTTTTTATAAGAAATTCATCAATGGCTGGCCTGGTGGTGGTGGTGGGGGGGGGTTAAGTAAAGCCCGGCAGCCCACCAGGCTTAGATTACACTGGGGGAAACCCTGGTTGCTCTTTGTCTCACATGTCCTTAATAGACTTTACAGCTTTGGCCAGGTTGCTGTAGAACTCGGTCATGCTGGATGGGAAAAATGAATCAACCACAGAACGCGGAAGGAGGCCACCCAGGTCTGTCTGGAAGAAACTGGACACTTGCGTTTTTCTGGGCTCCCTGAAAATTATTTCACACAAAGAAAGAGAAATTGAACAAGTAAAAAATTAAATAAGCTACACGTATGGGTGTGTAGGGCTGGGGGATATGAGAAAAATCTAATATCCTGATATATCTTTGCTATATCACAATATATGATATACATCACAATATTCTTAAATGAGCGGCAATGTTATTTTAAACTAGACTTCTTGCAGCATGATGTCACCCACGCGACTTCTTGCCCTCATTTTCCTGCTAGACTTAAATGTAAGCTCATATAAAAAGGGATGAAGTGTTTAGCTAAAAACTGAATAGATGACAAAGTGGGAAATAAGTTTTAACTAAGAAAAAAAATAGCGAGGAAGAGGGCCGTAGGTCAGTTATGCTTGACTTTGACAAACTTAATATAAAGATGTGCTATGGAATAAGATGTGTTTTGGTTAAAAATAAAAAAGGCGACTTATACACAAACTGACAGATAATCAGTAAATGTTATAAAATTAGTTAATCAACCACCGCTGTGTTAGCGCAGCTAATAGCAGTGTGGCTAATCGACCACAGTGATTAATTATTAATAAAAGCAAAATAAACATCAAGTATAAAAGCATAAAACTGTAACGAACTGAATGTTCTGTTCTATGTGGGGGTAATGTTTAAGAGTGGTGACTCTTGATACATGAAGTTGTGTTGTCTGCGTGAATCGTAAAGCCGACGCAAGAGCGAGAAAAAAAAAGAGGGAGTAGTTTTGAGTGATTTTTCCCATTCATAGCGCTAAATGAATCCTACCTATGTCTCCAGGTTTCACTTTAACGGACTAGTTCTACCGGCTATGAAAGGCATGTAAAAGAATAGTCTCATTGGGGGGGGAATAAATATGTGGTAACTTTTGTGGCAATAGTTTTACATGTCTTGTAAATGACCTCATTTTGTTCAACACCCTCCATATAAAATCCAAACTGCTGCCAAATTATCAATCCAGCGCGGTTTGTTTTTGGAACTAAACTAGTTCATCGGATTCCTCTTCAGTTACTGTCTTATTCACCATTCGACCTCAAACTCTCGCTGTAACCATGTTTGTTTTCTACGCGCAGCGTGATTGGTAGAAAATGTTCAGGTTGGGAAGGGGAAGGAACTAGAGATGTATTCATAGGGTGTCGGATAAACCATACTCGCAGTGAATTAGACGGCGAAAATGTATTATTT